CGCCCGCTCGGTCGGCAGCAGACATATTGCCAATGCACTTTTGAATTGGGTTGCATTCTCCCTCTCTGGTGATCGTTTTTTGAGTGGTTTCGAGGGCATTGGTGTACTTTGTATATGAGGAAAGTAAGCAGCAATCCCATCTAAGTGTGCTGTTAAAATGATTAATTTGACACCGGTGGCAGATCGTCGCAGCCATATGGAGGATAAGTGTATTGGAAAAAAATATATAGAAGCCGTATACAGTACAGAGTGTTTGCCAAATGCGTTGGAACAAAGACATCTTCCAGCATCATGAAGGGTTTTAACGCAGACTCTTTCAGTTTCAGCAGGTTTTCATCATTCTAACGTTCACCCACTAAAACCAGATTTTCTGTTCAGGAATGCAAGTAAATATAGCCATATAGCCAATATGTCAAGGAATAGTCGTAAACTTTGCTGTACTGTATATGTGGCAATTCAAGGAGAATAATAATACTTGAATAATCTTTTGGTATCGATTCATTCATTTTCTAATCCGCTCACGAGAGTCGTGGGTGTGCTGGAGCTTACCCCAGCTGTCTTCGGGCAGTCGGCGGGGGACACCCTGAACTGGTCACCAGCTAATCGCAGGGTACACATGGACGAACAACCATCCGCGCTCATGCTCACACCTCGGGACAATTTTGAGTGTTCAATCAGCCTGCCACGCATGTTTTTGGAATGAGGGTGGCAACCAGAGTACCCGGAAAAAACCCACTCAGGCAAGGTGAGAACATACAAATTCCACACAGGAAAACCGGAGCCGGAATCGAACCCTGCACCTCTTGCATTATGATGCCGATGTGCTAACCAGTCGATATTTGAGTATTAAGAATAATACTGTATTGTGGTTGAAGTGCAATCTGCATATTAATCATTACAGAAACGTAGTCGGTCCAAAACAAGCGCTTGTATCAAATATTGTGCCTTTATGAACATACTAATATTCAGTTATGAGCAGCAGGCTACTTAATATGCGCACGACTGTGAATTGTGTGCAATGTTTTGATTTTGTCATGCAGCAAAACGAGGTAAGGCGAGCACAGTCCTTGCAGAGGAAGCAGCTTCTACTGCAGAATAGCAAAGCGCTCCTTCATAGAGGTATTTATTCGCCACTCACAGGAGAGTCTTTTACGTAGCGTATGTTTGCAGTGTCCTTGGCCCTATAACTCTGTCGACATCGCCTCTCAGCTTTGACAGCAGAACAAAAACAAAAAGCTGTTTTATGAAGCAACTGACTGAGGTCAGTGGAAAAACAGAGAGGCCTCATTGTTGTTATTGCTCAGGCTACTGGTGCTTCTCATTGCGTGGTGTTGAACATGACGCCACCTGAATTATTTACGCGTTATTAATGTGCCGCATTGAAAATCGACCACTCGAAATCGAACCAAGTCGATCTCCCGCGGCTTTGACAAATCACTTTCGGAACGCCGACACCAATGATTAAAGCACTTTTTTCGTAAATGCTCGCATGCAACGTTACAGCTGTCTGCCCACGTGCAGTTACGGTGCAGTTTGTTTGCCGCAAACTTCAAGTCAGCCTCTTTTTTTGCTGCAAGTTTCATTTATATTTACCCACACTTTCCTTGAGCTCAGCCTCTGACCCATTACCCAAAGTCTCACAAAACCTGTTTTGTTTCAGTCCCTTTTAAACAACACACATTTTTGCCAGATGTTGCTCCTCACTCCATTTTCCAAGTGGCTATTAATACAGTTATGTTCAGAAAATGTGAGTTGTCATGACAGCGGGACTTGCTTGTTGACGTGCTCAGCCGTTGCAGAGTGAGTGAGCGATTGAGGTGCCACATTAAAAAAAAAAAAAAAAAAATGAAGTCACTTTGGGTAAGTACTTAAGAGACGATCATCAGGCTGAGTATGTTACAGTGGGCTCGTTCACTTTTTGACTCCTCCAGTCTTTCCCTCACTGCTGCGCCATTCTCCCTTAAGTGGCATGTTTACGTCCAGTGGCCTCTTTAGAACATTTTGTCTAATAGCCCTGAAGTGTGTGCCCCGTCGTCCAGATTCAGCATGCACGAATCAGCACTTTTCCACTTGGCTGTTTTGTGTACCACACTAACACTCAATATTAATATTCGTACCAGTACATTAAAAAAAAAAAAAACCCAAAAAAACCCAATGTGTTCATTTAGTCTGTGTGCCGACTGCTACTGATAAGTGCCGACACAATTAAAACGGTTTCATACAAAAAGGGGACAACCCCCTTCGTACTCGTGTCACATTAAACAATAGCATATACGTCTACTTAAAAATGAATCCAGATGATTCTATTGTGTGCAGTCACTAAACAAAATATAATTGTGGTAAATTCAAAACACCATTTTTGTTTTCAGTGTAGTGGCGGAACCCTGCACACTGCGCACCTCTTCAGTGAGTTCGAGTGCTTCATTCAGTGTGCGGCATGCTTTAGTTCTCATAATATGGAGAAAAGAGTTAAACATTTCCAGAAACAGGATAACAGATGCAATGCATCCAGTAATGGTGTAAGATTATGATAAAACAGCTGCAATCCCTTGAGAATTAGGTTAAGACAAAACAGTTGTACTGTATTTGGCCAAGACAATCAGCACACTTTTCTCAATTAAACTCTTAACATAACTAATAGTTGAATTTTACAAGTCATACAGCACAGGTGTGGAGCAGTTTTACTTTGACTATTAAATGTCCCACGTGCTCTCGGTTGAGTTTGTAGTTCCTGAATGCTACTGGAAATTCAAATTTCTGACAAGAATGAGTTCAAAGACTTTGAAATCATAGAAAACAAAAGCATTTGGTGGTAAAATATTTGTGGAGTACGTTGTGACATGATTTTTTAATTTTTTTGTTTTGTTTTTGTGAACCGTTCAACAAATAACACATCTTACGTAAGATGCCTTTGGTGGTGTTTGAACGGAAACCAACAAACTAAGTACAATACATCATTCCCGTCACAATGACTGAGTCAAATAAGCATTTACAAAGTAGGTCGCCAGAGAGATTTCTTGCTGTCATTGTCAAAGGTTTTTTATGGATGAGATGAGAGACAATGATGTGGAATGAACCCTCAGAGAATAATTACTCAAGCCTGCAGTCTTGCCTTGACTTCTCTCATTATAAGCACACTTTCCAGAACTTGGCATCCGTTTCCTATGAGAGAACTCGGAATCTGAATCAAAATCTGCCGTGCGTCAGGAGCGAGAGAGCAGTTAGCGACATTGATGAAGGAATTAGAATTTTCCCTCCGAAGACACGTCAAAATCTACAGGGTGCTAACAATGATAGCAGTAACACAAACAGGCTGTTCACTCATCAAAACATTAAAAAAAATGCTCCTAATTATCTTAAACATGCAATACATTAAATTGTATCGGGTAAAGTATAGGCCAGAATTTAGCAGTACAAGCTACTTTTGATAGTCGATAGCTAGCTAGCTAGCAAGCGAGCGAGCTAGAGAGCGAGCGAGCTAGAGAGCGAGCGAGCTAGATCGCACTTGATTTTTCCCTTTGTTTTAATACTTTTGATGATCTGCAAAGTGTATACTGCAGGTCTACGAGTGTTTATTGTAAAATGTTTTGGGTTCATAATTTTTCGGATGGCAGTTCACTGACCAAACTGATTTTGCCCACCTCTGGTAATAAGCAATAAAAATAGACAAATCTATTTGTTTATAATCCTGGATGATGCTTTATCATTCATAGTCTGAGTCTCACATTGAAGTCGTTGCAGCTTTTTTGGAACGTGTCGCTGGCATCAATTTTCGATATGAGTGACTACTAAAAAAACATTTGAACATTAAAATCTTGCCTTTGTAGTGTATTCAATTGTTTGCAAGTTGAAAAGGACTTGCAAATAATTTTATGTGTTTTTATTTTGGTTTGACATATTGTCTCCACTTCACTGGAATTAGGGTATGCATGTCTGCAACAACTGCAACAACTCTTGAAATAAACAATCATAAAACACAGTTCCCACAGTTGTTGTTTTTTTTGTTTTTTTTTTACTATACCAGCATGGATGTAAAACCCTGATTATATATTGTAATTCTCACACACACACTCACAAACACGCACACACACACACACACACACACACACACACACACACGTACGCATTGTATGTTTGTGTGTATCTTCTGCAAAGTGCATTAATCTACCTGCAAAGACAACTTTTCTGGACATAATAGAGGGAATTTATGGACTATATTTGCAACTTTAGGAAAATGATGCAACCCTACGTGAGGTGACAGCTTCAGGACACACAAATGCAATCAACCTCCAGATTATGTCACATGCTTCAAATTAAATGCCTGTTGGCCAGATCCCGCCCTCTGTTAAATTTGATGTGGTACAAAATATTGAAACCATTTTTGCCTGGCTTCTGTTCAAAATTATAATAAGAATGATAGCATAGTAAATCCCCACTATTTACAGAGGATAGGCTTCCAGCAACATTTTAACAGCCTCTCTCTGAGCTCTTTAGGTGAAGCTCGAGCAATAATTACTGACACTGATCAAGCTGTTAACTTGTCTCTAAAATGAAGACAAGCATTTGACGTTACACTTTCCTAAAAAGAAAATATCTCATGATTTTGGATGTTTCATTTCATATGTCCTTAAATCTGTTCTTGGTCACAGAAAATACAAACAGTTTGTTGTGCATTTTGTTTCCTCGCTGAACGTAAAGTGAACTGAACTGTGACCTTAAAAATGAAGGAGTGAACTGTTATTTTTATGTACCATTGCACCCTTGGCGTTCATACATGTAAAGTGCCCCAGAGGGAAAACAGAACTATGACACAAGTTGTGTTAAAAACAAGTTTGATGGTCCCTCTATTAAACCACTAAAACTCAACACAAGTTGTGTTAAAAACAAGTTTGATGGTCCCTCTATTAAACCACTAAAACTCACAATTCAGCGCACGGCCCCTTTTCACATGCCACCACCCTTTTGATCAAAGACATTTTACCACTTTGTGTTTGACCAGCTAAGCAGTTCAAACATTTATTACACCAAAATACAACATAGACGCAGCATCACACAGATTATAAAAGTTTGCTGTATTGCTAGCAAGCGTCTAGTGTGAAACCAGATTTTATTTTTGGTATATATATATATTTTTTAAACCACATAACGAATGAAAACTTATTTTCTGCACAGCTATGCATGGACATGTCTATACATGCATAAGCCAGTGATGAGAGACAGATAAAAATAATCGATTGTTAAATAAAGACCACAGGCTTCAAGCGCTCTCAGTGTGAATACTTAACTCAATGAGCTAGTGTCTTGCTGAGCTTTGAAAATATTATATATATATAAGTGTAGAGTATGACAAATGATCCAAATGACAGGTTTGCTTGGTCTTTGCTAGACAATGCACACAGCACTTGATCGACGAGTAAAATTCCGGTTTTTCTGACGTGCACCAACAGCCACAGAATTAAGTACGCCACCGCTGTTTCTCATTTTGAGTTCAACTAGAGAGTATTACGACCAAAATATCTCAGTGCACTTCTACACGATGGCCAACCACAAAAATCAAGCTTTATAAAACTGAGCATTATGGTCATTGTAAAAAAATCATTCTTTTTTTTTTCAGAACAGCAGTTGTACTGGAGCTCTGTAAAAGTGTACCGAATGTTGTGGCCGCTTAGTATATCACTAATCTATTGAATAGCAGTGATCAGACTAATTGGAACACTTACACGTGAATTCCCCAACATGCAAGGGACTCGAGGACAACATCATCTATTGTCAGAATACAAGGCCATAAAACTGATCCACAAACTTGCACAAATGTTTACAGCATTCTCTTAAGCCACCATCTCCACGCGAAAGAAAAATACATATTAAAAAAATACACCTGCCGGATGAATTAGACTGAATTGTAAAGTCATTTCATCACTATTATAAAGACGACCGTGTATAATGATCATCGTGGTTTTCATGCATAATACAGATAGGTTGTCTGTACAAGTGATGGCCACAAGAGGGCGACATTTGTTCACGGCTCAGTTTCTGACAACCAGCAAAGTCGTGGCGGGGCGAGGAAATAAATAGCGGGGGAAGGTGGGAGGGAGGCATGCAGAGGGCAATCCTCCACTCAAAGTCAAGTCTATTGCTTTTCAAAGTATGTGCATTTGTCCATCAACGAGCTTCTTCTCCACAATAATGCATACAATGCTCATCAGAAAGTGAAATATGTGCCTTTTTGTGAATCTCATTGTCGTCTACCATTTTACATCACCCGCCATCCTCCATCTTCATTTCATGCATCACGTTAAAAGTCTCCGGATCTTCCTTTTGTCCTCCTCACTCGGCTCCGCACTTCCTTGCTCGCTCATGTGCGCGTGCCTCACTCTTCATTTCTTTGCTCCCTCTTTTTCCGCCTCTTCCTCCTCTCTGCAGGGCAGCCAGCGAGGGAGACTGGCATTTCTCTCACAGCGGGAGGGCAAATCTGCACCCAGCCTCACTTCACGCAGTGAAAAGATGGGCGGGTGTGGCAAAACGAATTGCGCGCGTGTAGTTGTGTGTGAAAGTGTTGCGTGATCTGAACGAAGATACAACTGGATGTACGTACATGCCAGGCAACAGTTTACTAATTCTATTCAAGTGAGTATTAATAAAAGTGAGTTTTCAATGTTGTAAAATTAGAACTTGTAACCCCCCACCCCCCCCAAAAAAAAATCAACAGACCAAAGAAAGAAATGAACCGAGGAACAGAGCACTAGGCAAATTAATATGTTGCAGTATATTATTGAAAACCCGAGAAATTTGCCCTCGAGTGCTCGGACGTAAGCAGCGCTTTAAGGCAATGCCAAGACCATCACTGCCCCATGGCAGCTTTATTTTACATCGATAATCTGATTTCTGTTGAGAAATCAATACAAAGCGAGGTTGCTGTTTATTTTAGCTTTGAAGTGCAAATGAAGCGAGGACGCGGTTGGTGTCAGCGCTTTGCCGCGCTTTTACTTGACTGGCGGCGAGAAGAGATGAGACTTTTGTTCACTGCACAGAACCAAAGTGGCTTCACTTGTTGGTCGTGGAGATGAGTCAAAAAGGAGAAGAGAATTTCGGTTATGGGAGGGGGGGGGCGAGTGGGATGACTTGGCGCAGTTACGGAAGTGGCGAGGAAGAGATTCCCGGCCGCGGTTCGATTCCTCGACTTTTCATGAAGGACAACAGTTGGTCGGGGATCTCGGCGAGGACGTCCTTTGCCAGCCGCGCCATGCTGAGGACTTGGTTTCCGGATCGGTCCACGTAGTCTCGGAATGGAACAAACTGCAGTGGCACGGAACAAACACGACGAGTTCAATGAGTTGTTGTGACTAATTCTGATGGAACAAGGCTGTTGCATTGGCTCGACTCTTTTTGACGAAGAGGCAATTTTAAAGCGAAAACACAATCATTCAAGGACATCGCGGCAGTGAGTGACATTTCTCTCCAACCTCTTTTATCCTTTGAAAAAAGGAAAAAAAAAAGTAAAGATAAGATATAAAAATGAAGTATTCATCCAATGCTTACGGACATTTTCCCATTGGCACTGACCTTTTTTTTTTTTTTTTTAAATGGAGTCATTGAACTAGACATACTATATTATTTATTTATTATTGATTTTGACTCCTCTGTGCTGGGCCAAAGATAGAACTTGGCCGACGGTCGGGAATCCAATAATCAGACCCAGGCAAGAATTCCAATACCTGATTTCCAGAGTTCAGTGGCGCTTAGAAATCTCATTAAAAACTCCAGATTGGGTCAATTTATGGCTCATTCTTACCTTTCTTGGTTGCACATACTCAATTGTGATGGAGTAATCAACATATCTTGAAAATGAGCATTAATGAAGTTAGGTTAAGGAATTACGTTAATATTGGTTCAATTATGATCTCCAGAATTTAACACTTGAACCCTTTCAGGGACAGCGGTTACTACAGTGGACAGCTTATGATGTGATCAGGTTACAGATTTTGGTATTTCCCTAGACTGCGCCGTTGCGAGAGGGAATGCAGCTGATTAAAAACTTTTTTTTTTAATCATCGAATGGAAGCAACCCATCTCCCTTCCTATCAGTTCAGCACACAGTGAGGCACACGGTCTACATAGAGTTCGGCATGCGATCAGCACATTTAAAAAGAACCGCAAGAAGCTGTCTTCTGGCGGATGATATAAGATTGGCTGGTGTGCAGTGGGCACCCGGAGACGGCCTTCCACCCACGATCGCGCATCCATGTGTGAAACGTTGATAGAGTGAAGATGAGTTAAGCTAAAGTGGAAGAAGGTAACCAATTTGGAAGCTGACTGAAGACTTCTTTCACGACGCACTTCTGCGTGACGACTGAAATCTACCCATGCCGAGCTCAATGGAATGGTGATGAGTACCTGGACAATGTCTCTCTCAGCGAGGCGCCCTCTGGAGGATACTCTCACCTCATCTCCATCCAGCTCTTCCATTGCTAAAAGCAGAAGAGAGAGAGTGGAAAAAAAAAAAAAGGACTCAACAACAGAGCCACTGAGAGGGAAAATGAAAATGACTATTGTAATTACGGAAATGGAACGGCATGAGGAGAAAGGTGGTGAGTGGGGCACGGATAGAACATTTTAAGCAAAAAAAAAAAAAAATTGTATATATCATCACTTTAGCCAAGATAGCACAAGTTTAAAATCACTGCTCAGAAAATTGAGAAGCCCAGTCGTTTAAATGTGACACTGCGAGAGCGCTTCAGATTGCTTCAGAAGATGCAAATGATAAATGGGGCCCTTGTTGGGCAAATGTGTTTAGAAGTCCTCAACAGCAGCGCCACCACAATCACGCATTTCATGCATGCCGAATTTATATCCAAGCCCCATCCACAAATGAAAAGGTCTTAAAAGAGGTCAGATCGTTTTCATCTTTTGTGTTACCACTCAAAGGTTTGAACATGGTTTCTCATTCTATAGTATGAGAAAATGTGTCCAAATGGTTGGCTGGTAGGGTCCTATTTTTATGTTACATGCAGGCGGTCACTGCTGGGTTCCAGACTGCCTCTCAATGGTGGCATTTTGCCCCTGAAATTTGAGACAACACGAGCCCTGAAATTGATGTTTTTGTGGCTTAACAACAAAGGTGCGCATTTCCATCAAATGTTTCGTTCTTTTCAGAGTGAACGTCAAGTCAAGCTTTATTGTCAAATATGCTCTCTGCGCAACATACAGCACAGGTGAAATTTCTTTCCTCTCTCAACCAGAGTGCAAACATGCAGTGCATTGAAACACACGCAGCTAAAAATAAGGGCAGCAAACGGAACTGCATAAAAATACATTTATAACAATAAATAGCAAACAACAGACAACCAAGGGCACTTGCGAATTTATGTTGCGGACTGCAGAAACTGCTGCTCATCACGATGTGTACAGACAAACAAATACGTCACAGTTCAACCACGACGTGAGACAACAATTCTCAGACAATTGGAACTCGGTGTATTATGTAACAGTTACTTTGAAGTATATGAGTATTGAAATAATTTATGCTGACACACACACACACGCACACACACACACACACACACACACACACACACGGCACACACACACACACACACACACACGGCACACACGTAGCACATGCGAAGTTCGATCATGACTGAATGCATTCACTATGAATCCTGACGTTGGATTAATTCTCGAACTAGAAGAAAATAAAAAACAATCCAACACAGGATCAATGTGAAATTGTCACACTTCAATGAACCGTAGCATCAGCGAAAGGTTTATAGCTGTCAGCAAGTCAAGGTTTGACATTCAAGGATACCACCTCACGGTTGCTTGCTGGAATAAATTAAGCATGGGTCAATCATCAGATTTCCTTTACGTTTTTTTTCAAGATGAATTCAAGACTTTTTAAAACCTATTCAGGACATTTTTTAATGTCATATTTATTTCACAGCCAAACAAAATCCGTGAATTTGGGTCGGGTCAACACAGATACAGACCAAAGACAACAGGGCCAGTTAGAAGTGTACACAATTTTTTTTTTTTAAACATAGGTTGCGTTGTTTTTTAAATTTTTTTGTTTGTTCATTCGTTTTTTACATTAGCTAGTTACTTATCGCATTCATTCATTCATTGAAGGTTTGACTTATACTCCAAAGCGCCTTACAGTGCGGAAAATACGGTAATCAGAATACCGTGTTTAGGCTCGTGGGGCCGTGTAAAACATATTATTGCAAAGAACATTTTTAACTTAACTTCCCCTTCAAACAGTATATGAGTTCTTTTTTTCAAAAAACAGTAACAGAAGTAGTAAAAGTAAGTAGGCTACAAATTTGTCGTTCATTATTTTATTTTTTTCATATTCCAACCTCCCAAAAATGCTGTACTCACCATCAAACTCAGCGGGCCCAACACCTACGATGATTATAGACAGCGGGAGTGATGCTGCCTGCACAGGAGCAAGCACAAGAGAAAGAAGACAGGAACGTTCATAGCAGTGACAGCAGAGAGAGCGAGCGAGGCGTAAATTCGGCATAGCGGCAACGCACTTGAAGAGGAATACTACAATGAATTCATTAATAGAATACTAAGCTAAGCTTGCTCAAGTCACCTCAGATAGAAGTCTTTTACCGACAAAATGATTACTTTTTTTGTCTAAGCTTGTGCTCAATTCTCATGATGAGCACAGGCTGTCGGGATCATTGACTGGCTAGCAAATCCCGTAAAGGTTTTATCGTGTACAAGATTCCGTATGGGAATGATATGGGTTGAATGATTGGTCACGCAGGATAAATCGGCTGGAATTTAACGCGAGCCGAAGAAATGTGATGGAAACATGCCGGCGCAAACATGTGTGTTTACTCACATTGACCACGGCCTCTTTGGTTTGGACCATGTCAGATATGACTCCATCTGTGATCATCAACAGGACAAAGTACTGCGAGCCATCTGTTATCTCTGACGCACAGCTGGGACACACACACACACACACACACACACCCACACACCCACACACAAACACACACACACACACACACACACACACACACACACACACGTGAGCACGGACGTTTGGCTAAAAGTAGACGATAAAGCCACATTACGCACAAGTTGACAACAATTTCGACTGTCTTCAACGGTATTACACACATATGACCTTGGGAAACAATCGGCACCGGTGCCCTGCTTTTAATTTGGCCAGCGAGCTTATATGATCAACAAATACAATTGCAGTTGTAGGAAAACGGCCATTGATTCCCAAAGCCATCGACAAACACTCACTTTGCAACTTTGTTGATAACAGGCGCAAAGTTGGTCGGTCCATATAGCTGCACTGTTCGGAGGCTTTGGAAGTAGGCCTCCATGACTCCGTCAATGCCGACGCAGTTTGGATTATCACTGTTGCCACCCTGTAAAAAAAAAAAAAAAAAAAATATATATATATATATATATATATATATACCCGTATATCATCAATGTAATTATAAAACAAATTAGATATTAATAATATGAATGCATAAAAAAGTAAAACAAGACCAAAATGCATTATGACAGACAGCACTCTTCAACCCGTCACTCATATTCATAGTACGGTGGTACCTCTACTTACGAACGTCTCTTCATATGCGGTTGGAACGAATTAGGACATTTACATGGAAAACGCGTCTCTACTTACAAAATTTTCTAGTTCAGAAATTTCACCCAGAACCAATTTATTTCATAAGTAGCGATGCCAGTGTATATGTATTTGATAGTTTTGCTCTCAAATGAATGACTGCTTTAAGAAGTAAAAGCAGTTTTATGCAACTATAATAATAATAATAATAATAATAATAATAAAAATAAGACAGTATCAATCGTGTCTGTTAAGCAACAAAGTTGTCTATGTTTTCACTATATTAAAATAAAATCTATATATACATTTTTATTTATTTTATTTTATTTTTATGAAGAATTTCCTACTGCCCAAGTCTGTAGGAGTACTGCACAGCAATTGAAGCAGTGCTTTACAAGTAAACCATGCAAATTATTCTGAAACACTGATTTAGTAGTGCATGACACAAAGGCAGTAAAACGGTGAACGTGAGGAACGTTTTCAGGAGTGAATACGACGACTTCGGTAAATTTGTGAGACATCAGCTCAATGAGCATCGAAAGCACGGGTGTAAAACTCAAGGCCAGGGGACCAGTTTTCAGCCTGCCGCATCATTTCATGCAGCCCATTAAAGCCAAAACAGTATGTCGACTTTATTCTTCTCGCCAAATGCATTTCCTTTTTCCCTTCTGGCAGATAATCTGTTCTAAAGTTGTAATTTTTCATCACCTTGACCGGTTTTGCAACCATTTATTTTCACCAAATCCTCTTTCAACATAAATACAAATTCACTTTGTTGTTAAAAAAAAGAATCACAGTCAAACGTGGGGACAATTGTGGACGTGTCTACGTAAGAAACGATAACGTGACTAGTGATGGGCAACCGCCATCCTGGAATCGACTGTGTTCAAGCAAAGAGGTTCGTTCTCCTTACTGCACATTGTTCCTTAACTAGTCTTACACCCTGCTCGGTATTATTTCCCATTTTAGTCTTGTTTATCGATCCCCTCCACTTATCGGGATTATTAATTTATACATCTAGCTAAATCATATACGATGGGTAAAGTGCATTACGGTGACAAAGTGAGGGCTGTCTGGGGAGCCGATGCGGAAGGACGCACAAGTTGCAAGGTGAAGGGAAGCCGGGAAGTTCCCGCTGGCATGCAAACGAGCGCAACTTCTCGGCCAGCTGTTGTCGCAGCAACAACTCCTGGCCCCAACCATATCCTGCCGTGCGTGTGCATGTGCGCATGTGTGTGTATGTGTGTTTGTCCACAGGTGCGATGAAATGTTGGTTTGTTTCTTACCAGTGGGAATGCGTGGGAGATTTTGCCATCAGGGGGCAGCTTAGCGCCAAAGCCATAGGCAGGAAAGAGCTTGTCACTGTCATAGTCTTGGATAATCTCACCCACCGCTTTCAGGGCCATGGCATATGCATTCATCTGGTACGGGCTCATATAGTGGAGTGAGGTGGGCTGGGATGGATTACCTTGCAGGGAGACAAACAAAATAAAATCAAGAGAAGGAGCCGTATGCCCCCTACCTTCTTTGTCGCTGTTGTGGAACAATGCGAAACGGATGCGTGACATGATATGGCACTTCTTAGCATATTGGAAACACAAATGAACAAACATGTGGATAAAACGCACTCCAAACGACTTGGGTGAACTGCAACACCCTCTGGTGCAAAAACACACACGCATAATAGCCAAATCACATAAAATCTTCATGCTCTGTGTCAGTGATTCCCCAACTTTTTTGAGATAAGGCACATTTTTTTTTTACGTTAGAAAAATCGCACAGCACACCACCAAACAAAATTGTGACAAAAAGAGGATACATATGTCAGTTTCATACGTTTTGCCTTCAAATAGAAAATTATTTATTTGTTCTTTTTGTCACTAGAAGTCCCGGCACACCGGTTGCGAATCTCTGTGCTCCATGTAAACAGGGATACTCCGTTTACTAATGGAAGTCCATTCATAAGGGTGCTTGCTCAACGACAACCTAACTGCATAATGTGACATGACTTTCAAAGGTTAGTAAACATAAATACACCGTACACTCTTCATTGCGAGATCAAGTTAATTGAATCAATTATCGGCAATTCATGCCCTATTTTAAATTTGAATATCCAGGCCCACACCTCTGGACAGAATGTATCCCGCCTTCAAATAGGCTGGATTATTATTTTTTGGATGGTTTCGTAGTTGGTCATCAAATTGCATAGGGCAAAGGACAGCACAGGATCGACGGCGGCAGGCTGGAAGCCTGCCCATATTTGGCGCTGGTTGGGAAGTAGTCTGGTGCCTTTATGGCCAAACGAGCGGGAAAATGCCACAGCTTGGCAGTACCGGTATATATTTGTCACCGCTTCATCAAAAAGCTTTGGTTTTGCTTTGAATAAGGAGGAGGAGGGAGGAGATGAACAGCAAAGAAGCGGAATGGGTTCGTCCAACTCTCGTGTCATGGCTGGCTCTAGGGGAGTTTAGGCTCGTACATGAGCTACAGCTCCATAAAGGCTGCTTTGAGGTGTACTTTAGGATGTGCAGAGAGCAGTTTGTTTTTTTTAACTCCATCACGCTACGTCCTCAGTCTTGGGTCCCAGACTTTGGAATACTGGCACGTCGCATGAATAAATTATTCCACCATTTTTTTCTCAGGCGCCGCAAAATCTCTTGCTATTTTCACTCTAAAATCACTCCACCACCATCGCTCTCATTGGATGCATCAAGCACCCAAATTGATTTTCTGATTCGGGGGCCCAGCTCAGGTTCCGCGGCATGCACCGTAGCAGTGCACATACAAGGAATAAGTTGGTTAACGGCGCACCGTATTTTGTTAGGTGCACTGTGAAAGGGCCTTAAGAATCTTACCATTTGATGCTGTAAAGTCTATGGCAACAGTGAAGTTCAGCTGCGTCCTGGTGCGCAAGAAATTCCCCCCAAAAAGTGAATAAACAACAAAAACACAAGTCAATGTGCATGCAGCAAATATAGCGCATGTGAAAATTTATGAATAACAAAAATGATTTCAGCATGTCTTAGCATTAGAAATATAATATGGTTAAAGCGACTCTACCAACTGGGGATTCAACCATTACAGGAGCATTGTATATTATGACAAAACAATACAACAGACTGCAATGTGATCAGATTTTAGTTCACTAATTAATATGCTGTGACAATATTCAGGCTGCCACTTTCTGATTAGACGAAACAAACAAAATACTCAATTATAAGTGAATGAACTGAATACAGAAAGGTGTTTACATATGAGATTTACCAGTGCAAAATTCCTCAGGTGTAATTTTGTCAAAGTCAATACAAATTCATTGTGATGCTTACAAAGCCTTTGGTGTGTACACACACACACACACACACACACACACACACACACACACACACACACACACACACACACACACATGCGTGCACACACCTGGGTGGCATTGACACCGTGAGTGCCGGCTAATCATTATTCCACTCACCCTCCTCGGATGAAATCCACAAAGGTGTACTCGGACTCCACTTTGAAGGACAGCAGAGTTACCTTGTGTTTACACACACACACACACACACACACACACACACACACACACACACACACACACACACACACACGTCAAAACAGAGGTAAACTACAGAGAGGAAATGCAAACGGAGTCGCATTCATGCCAGGAAGGGACAAACACATCCAGGTTGCCAGAAGGCACAGCAGATCTTGGGCAAGAAAGGCATGAGAGATCATTGGCGCGAGTAAGAAAACATCAAATACCAATGGAAAGCCAATCATGCCAATTTAGTGTGAATTTATTATTCTCGTTATAATGCCTCAAGGAGAAATTCAACTTACGCTTTGCTGTATATTTTTGTTACACCCCGCACAGAGAACCCGATCACAAATGCAGGAACGCGAGGAGAGATTCAGAGTGAAACAGGACTGCACGACTTAAGCTGTGAGGGTGCCTTGCTCAAGGGGACCTCAACAGCAACCGTCGAGCAAAAGAGCATCCCTCCCAACAACTCGTGGCCGTTATTCTATTTTTGACATCAGCGGGACTTGAACCCGTGGCTTCAAGGCCCAAGTCCTCACACCTGAGCTGCCCCCCCACAAACAGGCATGTGCAGGCTTGGCGGTCAAACTCACAGTTCCTGAATTGACATACTTCTTCTTTTTGCCCTTCTTCTTGGGATTCAAAACCTGTCCGTGAGGGGAAAAAAAAAGGCATGAATGAGGTTACTGTACGTGAGTATCACACACTGGAAAAGGCTTTAAAATAAAAAAATGAACACAACCATCATCGTTGCAACCGTCTATGCATTGAAATGGAAATGATATCAATACAGCTGATGAAGATTATCCATTTTTTTGGCATGCATTTACAGAATCACCATCCGTCATCAGCCGTGACTGATGACTTCTACAGTGAAATTTAGCATGCCTTGCGCTGGAAATGCAATCGTGTTTTTCCACTCACATTTAAAAAACATTATTTTGGGTTTCACCTCATAGACGTTGAACTGGTTCTGTCCGCGAGACAGTTCTCTGTAGCTGGTGGTGAACTCGCCAATGAAGTCGTGGCTGCAGACATACACCCACGCAGGGGGCAAAGCATGAGTCCAAATGTCATCGTCTGAGACAAAGTGTCAAGCCTATTCACATCTCCTTCTGCGGGTCTGCCAGATTATCTCCCCTTGCGTCATGGTCACCGTGTGAGTTTTCTGTTCCAGTCATAAGCTAATATAAGATGGACGGTTTAAAAAAAAAAAAAAATAGGAATATCCAAATTGTTTGTGTTGAAGTTTCGAAGCTGATTTGGTTTGGGACTGGGCAACAATTCCCTAAATAATCACTGTATGTCTTGTGTAAATAAACACATCACCTTAAATTAATACTGCCCTTTCTCTCTCAGAGGGGTGCTGTAATTATCTGCACTATCTCCAATACCACAATACATATTTGCACAGCAGACATGGCGTCTGTTAAGTGGAGTTTCGTGAACGAGTGCTGCTGTATGCACTACGAAGCATTCTGGAACAAATGCTGGTAAAAATCTCAATATTGATGCCAAAAAATAAGGCATATTGAGGGAAAAAATGACTAGTTCATGATCAAGGCCATAATTCTATGTACTTTGCTGAAACAAGATGGAAAGGTTCATGTTCACGAATGCCCTGTCTGCCGGAAGTCATGAATCATTTCTGAAAAGAAAATGAATGATTATGTTGAAGTTTTGAAAAATGAGAAATACACAAAGCCTTTTTGAAGGACAAAATTGTGTGAAGATTCATAACGTCTTCAGTGTATGACATCAAAAGATTCTCATTCAGGGCCAGGAAGCAGTCAGCATACAGATGCAGTCACAGCAATGAATTATTTCATCTGAAATGTTCAACAACTGTCCCATTTTAAAATGGTATACGCCAGAGAGGTTTTGCGTACACCAGAGAAATGAGACATGAAGTTAAATCTTTTACGTTCTGCAACGAGAAAAGACTTCACAGGAACATATTTTAAAAAATGAATTCACACTGAGGTAGCTTGTCTTTACCTTCCATCTCGATCCCAGTCATAGACGTCTATTTTTACAGTCCTGAAATACAGAACACATTTATGAGCACGACAGTATGTTTCAATGATTCAACATGTTCCCCTGCCAGTAGAAAGTTTAAATATGAATTGCAACACTGCTGAATTTAAAAAATGCAACACCTGCTGGCACCACATAGCAAAACGACTGCTTCATGGAATCCAACTAGAACACTACTGGCAGTGCAGGAAAAAAAATGGCTGTTACAATGCATTGTTATTTCAACACAGGTGCTTTTTCCTTTTCTTTTTTTGAAACATTTTATCTCACATATATCTTGCACATTGAGTCACCCTTAGAAGAAGCTGGTAGAGCCAAGTACAGAAAGAAGAAAAGGTAGCCTGGCAGGATGGTGATGATTTAGATGGAAATGGAATGCACTGTACACAATTCAACTCAACTCAACTGTATTTCTAGAGCACTTTAAAACAAACACCGCTGTATGCAAATTGCTGTGTACATGGAGCAAAATTAATTCATACAACAAAAAAAAAAAATCAAACAAATTAGAAGCAAAGACAGTAGAAAGCACATTTCATCCTGTTTCTCCACAATATCAGCAATGTGTGATGTGTAATATGCAAAGGTCTACCAATTCCAGTGACCGTAGCAAAAAAAAAAAAAAAAAACAAATATGGTGATTTGTGCCACATATGTCACCCTTGTTTTCCCTCCAACGACATACGGGAGAAAATGTCATTGAGGTTAGTCCTTTGTTCATGTATTTAGGTTTTTTTTTTCCCCAAGTTATTTATGATTTTTGATTTTTGATTTACTCTTGTACATAATTTTGTGCTGTGTAATTTTTTATAGTGATTAGTTTTTTGTTTTGTTGTTGTTTTTTTTTTAATTTGCTGTTGAGTTTGGTTTTCATTTCTGTGATTTTTCATTTGTGTTTCAGTGTTTTTTTTTCTTTGCTCTTGTCATTAATTTTTTGGCGTTGTGCCTTTTCATTTTTCTTATTTCTTTTTTTGTGTTTTTTTATTTACTGCTGTTGTGTTTAATGTTTGGTTTTCCTCTTTTTTTTTTTTTTAATTTTCTGTTGTTTTAATTTATTTGTTTTTGTGTTTTGCACTTCAGGGCCACCGTAGTAACACAGCTTACTCAGCTCACCCATTAACATTTAAGTTCATTCCCACATGGAAAATTGTGGTGTCTCATGAGGACACCAAATGTAAAATATGCCGGTCATAGCCCACAGTAATTCTGCTATTCGCTGAGTTATACTGACGAGGGGGGGGGAGGCAGTGTGATAGATGCACACGGTCTATATCACATGTTGAAAGATTTGCATCATCTGAGGATTGCTGTTTTATTTTAATGTTGCAAAGAAAAATCTCAAATGCCGCGCACGTTTCGGTGTGTACTGGTATGATCAAATTCCCTCAGGGAGAAGTGCAGCCGTGAAAGGCATTAAGTATATGCAAAGTGCACCTGGCTGCAAGTGACTATCACATCTGCTCGGCACAGTCGGAATGTCGGTTTTAATGCAGAGTGCCGTGTGGAAACCGAGGCAATCTCAATAACACCAGCGCTGGTCCCCGGGACAAAATGACCGACTGCTGGCATTATTCTGACTGCCGCGGCAACACGTGATGTCATCTACTTCCAAAGTCCGCCTCCGATGGATTCAGGGTTTGTATCGGGGCAATGAGCTCGGCAATAATTACTGCACACGCACGATAAAAAGCACCACCATTTTACTTTGCAATTTTTTTTTGTGTGCATGCATTTATGTATGATAGTGGCAACTGTTTTCTGACCTGTCATAGTCGCCGTTGCAAAGAGCTCGAACGGGGATGGTGAAGGGCTGCCAAACCGGGTTCAACGTGTTCTTGATCACCTCCGTTTTATGGCAGATGGTGAATCTGTCGGAGAAATGGAAAAGACTTTGAGAAACAAACAGACGAGACAAGACAGGCTTCGTTTGCTTTCCCGGTGATAATCGCGCAGCGTTTATTTTTCGTATCGCCGTGATGCGCCAATGTCATTTTGTCTGGAGAATATGAGCAGATTGAGTTTTGACATTTTGAGCCAAGGCTCAATAGCTTATTTCAATCAGAATGATAAACAAATGAAACCAGATGGAAATACTGTTGACATTGTTTAGCCACATTGTTTTTTTTTCTCTCTCCAGAGTCCTCACCGCATTTCCCCAGACTTTCCTCTGAATATTTATAATATTTTACTTTTGCCTATTTATTGATTCAACAGTGTTTTGTCAGGCACAAAAATCACAAAAAAACACTCCAACTCCACAGCTTCTGTCAAAAAAAATAAAATCACCGTGCACAATTGTGATCAAATGTGTGGCTTTTTGTTGTGTTGTTTTTATTATTTTACTTTATGTTGACTGTTTTAGAAAGCGCTTTGATACAGTGCTATATAAATCAGAATGTATTGTATTGTATTGTATTTCCAACCAAATTCATGAGAAAATAGACTTGCGCCTGATAAAACGATGTAGTTTAAATTATTTATGAGCGGAACAAAAGCAAAGAAAAAAAAAACAATTACCTTCAGTTCGACCTTCCTAGTTTACTGGATGTAAAAAGATATTCCAGAACTCCTGTCACTGGGCTAGAATATGTTTCGTATCGTTTTCATAGTCATATTTTTGGACACGCATTTGATGTTCAATTGCTCAAACGGGGCGGCCCGGTGGAAGAGTGGTGAGCGCGTCGACCTCACAGTGCAGAGGTCGTGGGTTCGATCCCGGCTCGGCCTTCCTGTGTGGAGTTTGCATGTTCTCCCCCTGCGTGCGTGGGTTTTCTCCGGGTACTCCAGTTTCCTCCCACATTCCAAAAACATGCATGGCAGGCTGATTGAACACTCCAAATTGTCCCGAGGTGTGAGTGTGAGCGCGGATGGTTGTTCGTTTCTGTGTGCCCTGCGATTGGCTGGCAACCGGTTCAGGGTGTCCCCCACCTACTGCCCAAAGACGGCTGGGATAGGCTCCAGCACCCCCCCGCGACCCTTTTGAGGATAAAGCGGCTCGGAAAATAGATGGATGAATTGCTCAAACAAAATTTCACAAGCCTTAACTGAAACTGAATTACAAATTGAGTTCATGAACACTGTGTCAAAATAAAGGGAGCACACATCACATTACATCCCAAATCTCGACAAATAGTTTCACACAAACACAAATAATTTGATCTCATGGGTTAACGATAGCCCACGAGGCTTGTCAGACTCACGTTCCATCTTCATTGCTGCGGTAGAAAACCAGGAAGGGGTCTGACTTGCCAAAAAAGTCTTTCTTATCCAACTTGTTGGCACACAACTGCATAGTCGCAATATCCTGTGAGAGAACACACATCAGGGGCGACGAAAATATCTCAGAATCATTGAAGAAGCAATTTGATTTCAAAGGGAGCAACCTGCGCAACTTAATTCTTTTTTATTGAGATGAGAGCACAGTTGTTTGTTTTTTTTTTTTTTTGTGTGTGACAAAGACGCAGTAATTTCTAACTCAATACCCCATCAGAATGCAAAGCAATATCCAGAGTTACACCTGTATCATGAAGATGCAAAATCCCAAGTCGGCAAGCAGTCAAGCCTCATCTTCACAATGACTGCTGCATATAGCACCGAATTCTATCCAGGGTTTCATTTAAAGTACGCATCAGTGAGAGAAACACATCTTATCATGGATCATCTGTATTATAGTCAGTGAGGAATGGGGAATAGCCTCATCCATATTTATGGCTGGTTACACCCATTAATGAGACGCTGTTTTATTAAGGCTGCTGTTTTCAAATGCTTGCTACGGCTCGGTAGGAGAGTTGGATTGTGCTTGATGGAAACTCGTATTCGTCACATCCAGTAGGAAGGGATTCCATCCATTAGAAACTTTTGGATGTGTCAGTGTGCACAAGTGACATGGAACACAGCTAGAGTATTTCTGTTGGGCATTTGGGTCTCTTCCACTGACGGGATATTTGGGACCAGCCCACTGACACTGCAGTTAAATTGATCAGATTCACATTGATTGCTTTACCACGTCTGACTGAGATTGCATATTTATTGTGGTGATGAAACATGACACATATGGTTTATGGAGTGTAAATCAAGCCTTCGGTTTTAATTTCAAAATGTGCACAGGACGGGATCTACCATGAGCTCATTTCATTCATTTTTGCTTATGAATGTCCAATGTTAATGCAGTTGAATTCTATTTTTCATTGCTGTTAAAAAAAAAAAAAGAAAAAAAAAAAAAAGAAAAAAGCAATTAGTGGTAGTAGCGGTAGTAGTAGGCGTATCATTACACTGTTTATGTATGAATGTACGAGTGGAGCAATACCCTTGGGGATTGGGGGTTTCTATTACCAACCCAAACAACAACATATATACTTGAGGCTTGACTAAGTGATTCACATGTGGAACTCCAGCTCATTTGTCACATTTCACGCTGTCTTATAAAAGTTGGGCCCATCATTAAAACTTTTCAGCACTTGTGTGTGTATACCTTATTATTGGGGCACAGCTTAAGTGTGTGCTCGGATACTGACCCTGCAGTTGCTGAGCTCCTCAGCAGTTAAGATAATGACCCCGCACTTCTTCCCTGGAATTCCACTGCAAAAAAAAAAAAGATGATTGATGCATGAAATTAGTCATATCGTGGTCCTCTGTTTCTACAAACGTAGATCCTACCGCACAAAACTGTTTTATGGAGTTTGCCTATGATTATGCATCCTCTCCTTTTCCCCCTTGGTGATATTGTACGGACTGTATAGGGGCAAATTCACTTGGTTGATTCAATGTTTTCGTCCACACCAATGGCAAAATCCCTGCCCCCATAAACTTGCAAATCCTAGCCAACCAATAGCGAAACAAAAGTCATTTTTGGGTAAGGCGGGGAAAAAAATCCTAAAATGGTAAATCAACGGAATGTGAAAAAGATACGTGTGGATTTATCACAGAATGTGGAGTGTCAATAAATAGCAATATTACCAATCGGTGTTTCTGGAAAATTAGGACTTTGATGGATTTTACAATGAGGATTGATCAAAAAATAACATGAGTACATTGTTAAATACTTGAATAAAGTAGAACAGAACTTATAGTTTTGCTCCCGCTGGCTTTTTAAAATCATACGCTAGCATGCATGCATGCCAGCAAATTGTTTAAGCTAGCCTACGTTTTACCATGCCTGCATCCAATAACATAATGTGACTTGTGTATGTGTTCAATCCATGAATAGCACCCGTAACTGACACCATACCTTTTAATACGGTGCGCCGTTTGGTCGTGAAAATACGGTCATATGAGAGAGTTCAATTGTTCCGCCTGTCACCGTATGCACAGATAGATGAACAAAGATTTCATTTGAAATGAATAACTGCAAACTTTTGGACAAATTTATTTTATGATAATAATAATAATAATAATAATAATAATAATAATAACAATATGGCACCCTGGTTGAGAATCACTACATCATTATATGCATTTCGATTCAAACCTTACAATATATTAATCCCTAGTTTGAAACCTCCATTTATATGTGAAAACCATTTAGAGGTCAAGCGTAAAAAGGATTTATTGAACTGTCGCGAGGGAGGGAGAAAAAAAGTGAATTAAAAAAAAAGGAGAGCGGGAATGCGAGAGTTGATGGGTCAATTAGTGACAGATGCTCCACAAAAAGGGCAAATCTTCTTTGCTGTTTGATCGATCATTTTCCAAATGATGGGAAACACATTTGAAAGGCTGATACTTTTTTGGTGTTCATCCAAGAGCCAAACACATCCTAATTCAAGTCTTGTCACAGTGATACACCGTGCACATTGAGTACAGCATTGGACCTACTTTGTGTATTCTTCTGCACGGTGTCGACACACTTACATATTTGTGACACATTGTTCTCACCTCAGTTCAGATTATGTGACTTGAGTCACAAGAATTTCAATTAAGCACTCCGACAATCCATCTGCACTCAAATGTCCCATTGCAATATCAATGAGACATCAATTTAATAAACATAAAAATTCCATTTTAGGAGGCAACATGCGTGTAATGAGTACTGAGCTCCGAGTCTCAGCATTTAGCCCTTGGAAAATGGAACAGCCTAACCGCATACTGCGATGTTCAAAGAAGAGAGCCCGACAGTGGAATTGATTCAGAAGGCCATCCTATCAACCACCCACCCAATTTCCAAAGACTCAAGCTCTGGATGAACATTCTCAGTTCAGATACAACCTATTAAATATATAGCTCCCGTATATGTCATATATTATTGACTTTTAAGGAAGCCTAGAGCCCAGTTCTGCTGTGCTAAACTACAAATGTTAAATGAATTAAATATTCGCATACTGTGAAACATTGACACAGTGTTTAGACCAAAATATTTGGAATACAGTCAAAACTACAGATGCCGTGGAGTCTTTTTACCGCCATTACCAGAATATGTATTGAACCGTCATTTCAGATGATGGAGCAGTGGATACAATGAGCAGACAATTACCTGATCAACAACTCCCAAGAAACAAAGCACATGGCGGCATGAGACAGACCAGAGTAACCCATGAGTTCATTTCCGTAACAATGCTCTTTCGTACCTCGGTGAACTGTAGCAGACTGATTGGAGCAGTTTTCCTCAGGGTCTCCGACGAGGTGGACATAATCGGAGAACCTCTAAAGGAGCATAACAAGAATACCGCCACCCTTAGAGTGTGGCCAAAGTCCAATTGACTCCTCCTCAACCTATTTTGAGAGGTCTGAGCTGAGTATGTGTAAGGCTTGAGGCCAAGCAGCCTGTGAAGGAATGCATTTATTGTACCTGAGATCTTTCTAAGACGACCCCCCCGCTCCTCCTCCCAAAAACAATCGTTTTAATTGTGCCTCAAGGGGAAATTCAGTTTCTGAGAAGGTTGCAGGTCATTACCCAAGCCTCATGACCATAGGTGAGTGCTGGAATATAAACTGTCTTCTAAATAGAGAGTTTTTCCTTTTGGATTCTCCGCACATGGAAATTGTCCTGGGAATAATGCTATATGATGTTTAAAAAGTAAAGCGTTTCATCATTTTGGTTGTGGTCATGATGATGAAAGTCCTAATAAATAAATAAGTTTTTCATGTAGTGCTAGTAGCTCAGTCTGCTGTTGTATCCGCTATAGCAAAAAGTTCAACCAGTGTACTTGCTCTTGATTCTGTATGAAGGAATTTAAAAAAAAAAATACGTAGCATAATTGAGAGATCTTCTTTCACAGATCTCTGTGGTCACATGGAGCCTGGGTAATAGTTGGTAACACTGATTGTTTAAAAAAAAAAGTGCTGTTGTGTGAAATTAGCATGAATAAGTGTAACCGTTAGCATGTCTACCTCACAGTAGAATCGAATGAAATTTGGAAAACTGCTTTCCTACAATGTGACAAAATATTTGCACCGAGATACAAAATGGCTTCTTGATGCGAGGGAGCACAATTTCCATACCACATGTTGTCCACTTAATTTTAAAGGTTCATAATAAGTCTGAATGGGGAGGAGCTCTCCAGGACTGGTTATGTCATGATGCTGAGGACCAAGGCACGACACCTCCAAACTACTTTTGGCACTGCATTGATGCACACGCCAATCACCCGGTCTTGCCCTGAGCAAAAGCACAGCAGTGGATCCATATGGACTTATGTGTGGGTGTGTGAACTGGATTGCAATACATTTGAAAGGAAAATTTATACTTTAACCCTTTCAGGGACAGTGGTTACTACAGTGGACAGTTTATCAGGTTATCAGGTTACAGGTTATCATTATTTGTGCATGAAAGGGTTATAAATAAGATCGCATTCCACGAAAAGTATTTATTTGGTTGAGAGTAGCTGAATGTGTATCCAGAATGCACTTCTAAATCTATAAGCCATTTGCAAATATTTGTCTAATTTCTTTATTATGGTCTTTCGATGTTTTATATCAATGATTGAAAAACATCATTTCCACTGCTATGGTAAATTACTTGCAAGGGTGAATTATACTGAGCTGACAAAGATACTCGTTCCCTCAAAATCTTTCCTATTGGTGCTTGTCAGGGAGCGCCTCAGGGTTTAATTTGCACCTCAAATAATGTTTCCACTATTTCAGCTTTGGGGTTATGGTCTCTTTAAAAAGCAGTATGTGTTCAAAGAAACCTGGATGGACGATACTACCCGGGAATACTTTTTTTTCTTCTTTTTTCTTTTTTGTTATTGAACTGCTGTAGCAGTGACAGCGGCTTCAGCAATTCATACTTAAAAGCTAAATATGACCTGGATTTTGTCTGGGTGAGTTATGACTTCCCTCAGTGCAAGCACTCACCAGTACAGAAATATTGGACTTTTTCCTGCAAGGAGATGAAAGGCGAGATAATTGGCAGGAAAGAAATGATGTTGCAACGATATGAGGGAATTGCCTCAACGCAATTACTAAGTGTCCAATAAGATTGCTCTATAATCCTTTTGCAGCTCGTGGCCTTTCTGTGATTTATTTGCTTTGTATCTGGGATATTACAATACTGTAAGCGCTCCATTTACAACTACCAAGTTTATATGTTTGTGTTTATAAGATACAGAGCTGCAAACCTACAGCTACAAAAGCTATTGCTTGAACAAATTTGAAAAAACTAATCAAAAATACTAAAATTACATTCATGGCTGTGACAATGTGTGTATTAACCTCACTAAATCAAGGCAATGCAATTTTACTAATTCCCATAAAATCCCATGTTTGACACCATATATAGCTCCTATACTTTTTGTTCTTCGACTACCTTCCTTTCATAACTTTGCTGCTGTAAATTGGGAATTTGTCCATTGTGAAAAGATTAAAGGTTTTCTTATTCTTATTCTTATTATAATTTCCAGACTGCAAAACGCACCTGACTAATAGCTATAACAGCTAAATTTGACCATACAATTCACCACTTTGCACAAATAGCCATGGCTCTCTACGATACTAAATGGGGTATTATTTTTATTTTAAATACTGGGAGATGCTTCCCCCCAAATGCAGAACGCAGCTATAGTTACACGGCTCCCGGAACTTTTCTCAGGATCCTGTTGTAACACAAGGCAAATTCACAGATGAGTTTAGACCGGTGTCGCACTGCAAAGCTAGCTAGCTAGCTAGATAGATAGCTTGCTAGCTAGATAACTAGATCGCGAGATAGCTAGATAGCTAGATAGAAAGATAGATCGACATGTTTCCTCCCATATTCCAAAGATAGCTGTATTTATTGCACTTGAACCCTTTGCCCCGCGATTGGCTGGCAACCAGTTGAGGGTGTACCCCGCCTACTGCCCAAAGACAGCTGGGATAGGCTCCTGCAGCACGCCCGTGACCCTCGTGAGGATAAAGGGATTAGAAATGGATCAGAAATATATATTCTACAGCGCCTGATGTTATGTGGTGGCCGCACTAGCGGCGAGCAGCACTGGGGAGAGCTGTCCGACTACTTTTCCAAGGCAGTTTATTTAACGTAAATGACTCACTTCGATGCTGACAGCTTGACGCTGTTCCCGCTAATCACTTTGATCACTTTTTAACACACCAGGCTCGCTCAAACGTGGTTGTTGAAAACTCATTTCTGCGCTGTCTGTCACACAGCA